CTCGAGAGAAAGGCATAGCGTACTTCGGAGTGACTCGGGAAATCAATCTTCTGAGTAGGAACACCTTTCTTGTTCTTGAAGAGATCTTAAGAGTCCTGAAGCAGGGAAAGGTCCGTGTCTTTGCGCATTTGTCTACGCTCTGCAGCTCAGGCTGCCCCTTGAGGTACCTGCGTTTCCGCAAGCGACGAGGTTTGGAACTTTGGCGGAAGACGCTAAAGATTCACAAGAGTTGCTGGAGACTTATAGGGAAGCTCTTCGGCCCCTATTCCTCGAACGAGGGTTTGCTGTTAACCCACGAATGGCCTGAAAGGTCCTCTTTGTGGAAGGAAACGGTATTTCTAGAAGTCTCTAAAAGCATTGGTCTGACGCAAGGATGTCTAGTAGATAGGTGCTGCTTCGAGAAGAAAGAGAAGACTTGGAAGAGATGGTGGTTCGCTTCTAATAGTGCTGCCTGCGTGTGGGAACTGTCTTCGTACGTTTGCGCAGGAAACCACGAACACTCGAAGAGTGCGTCTCTGAAGGAGTCTGGGACCTACCCGGAAGAGCTTGGAAAGGCTCTTGTCAGGATTGGAAAGAAGATCCTGAAGCAGGAGGAAAGAAAGGACTGAAGGGAACTACCCCAGGACCATCTGTGCATGAGGGGGTGTGTAAAATTCACCTCAGGTGAGATGACGAGAAAGTGCAGAATGGCCTCAATCAATATGGAACGGTCTATGTATGGGGATTGACCACCCCGCCGGTAGAGGGATAGCGGCCTCTGAGAATCGGAGGGCATGGATCACCTCCCGGCAAAAGCCACAGGAAGTATGCCCTGTGCATGCAAGAGGCAGCCACCGTAACCAGAGTCCATGAAGCCTTGGGCCATGACCTGGTTTGAAGACATGTCCGGCCTCACTACGGTTGAGGGGTGGATGGAAGCACTCAGGACATGCAATGAGGCTCGTAGAACGAGCATCGGGTCTAAAGGAATGACCTCCATTCGGTGAGGGATAGCGGCCTCCACGAACGAGGGCATGGATCGCCTCCCGAATAGACAACACAGAGAATGTGCAAGCATACAGGCAATTTGCCTTGGCCAAAGTCTTCAAGCCAATGGCAACGACTTGGTCAAAAGGACATTCCGGCCTCACTTCGGTTGAGGGTAGCGGTACGTCAAAACCGAGGACAAGGAATGAGAGGGGGAACTTACCGGCAGTTTCACCCCACAGTTTTAGTAAGTTTTGTTTCACTTGAACTCACAGCCCCTTCGGGTGGCTACGCCTCGCAGCGTGCAGACGTAAAATTCACCTCAGATCCATCCGTCGGAATATTTTCGCAGTTGTTCCGATGGACACCCTGCAGGACAGGTCGCCTCGATGCGGCTTTTGTTCAGCCTGACACCGGTTCGGCCCCTTTGCTCGGTCTGTGCAGCAGACCGCTGGACCGGGTTTTCGGGCTCAGGTGCTTGTGGGTCTTCCACAGGCCCAACACGGGGTTCTCGCAAACACAGCGCACGAAAGGATAACGTTAGAACCGCACCCTGAAGATCCTCACTGGTTGATGAGGGGAGGGAGGGCGCTGAGGGGACTGGAATGGACAGGGAGACGCCGGACGAGGTTCCGGTAGCTGAGAACAAGCGGGTCTCCCACCCGATTGAGGTTTTAGGGCTTGCCGCCACTCACCCAGTTTGGGGTTACCCGTGTTTGGCCTGTCGAGGATTTCCTTTGAGTTTCCTGCAGGGTGCTGTTGTTTCTCTCCGGGTGGTGCAAGCCCATCTTGGAGGAAGCCTAGCGGCAGGCGTTGTTGTTAGGGACCAATGCTTGGCTGACGGACAGCCAGAGGCACCAGGTTGTGGAGGTTAAAGGCTGTGGCTCGGTGCCTGAAAGCCTGCCCAACTGAGCTGCCCAAATCAACCAAGCCCTCCCTGCGTGCAAGTGGTATGGGCTCCTTGGAGCCGCTGAGGTAAACCAGTTAGTAAGAGCGAGAAAGCTGGTTCCCCTCCCTGGTGAGTAAGTGCGAGAAAGCCAGGTCAGCAAACGGGGCTAACAGGAGCTCTGTGCTGCTGCGGCACGAGTTCCTGGGGCCTAGGTTAGTAAGGGCGAGAAAGCCTAGGCCTGTGCCGGAGGTTGGCGACTTTGCCAGCCACTTGCGTTCAGTTTAGTACAGGCATTGCCCATGTATCGGTTCCAGACCTTCTGCCTTTTCTGTGTGAGCCGGAAGTGGGTGAGTTTCTCCCCTGTACTGGCAGGGCTGATAGGGTAGGCAGTACAGACCAGGCAGTTCAACCTGCAGAACATTTTGCCTAGGGCTCTGTACAGTGCCAAACCAGTGAGTAGCCGTAGGCCGCCGAGCTTCTCGCGGATCTGGTTAGGCCCTTTTTCTTCTCTCGGTGCTCCCTGCACATAGTACGGCCGTGTCAAGCAGGCCAAGGACACCTCGAGAGTCCCTGTTCTCACGTTTCACCTTAACTTCCGGGACTTTGGTCCCGAAGAGCCTAATTGGCTAGCGACGTGGCCCGCTTTCGAGTAAAATTCACCTGGCTCAAGGTTTCGGCTCAACCCCGGTGGGGTGCTCAGGTAGAGAGCGTCTTTAGTGCCGTTGTGGCTGGCCCTGGGGCTTGTAACTAAGGGTAGGTTCCGTTTTGAGGCCCTGGCAAAACTGTGTTTGCTCGTAGGCCGGCTGACCGGCTAAGCTGTCATAGAGCGGCGGCCCGCCAACTGCTGCCGACGACGAAGGACGTTCGAGTGCACAGTTTTCGGCCTCGCTTCGCTAGAGGGAAGCTTTTCGTCCTCGCGTTGCTGAGGGAACCTTGTGGCCTACAGTCTGCTCTGGGTCACAGTGAGAGTTGCAGCCTCGCATTGCTTGAGGGGTGACGCAAGCCTGTTGCTCACCAGAGATTCCTGCTGTCTCTGGGTGAGCAAAACCCACCGACCCTCATTTGGATTGAGGGCTGTGCTGAAGGTGAGTTTGGGTTCCTCGCTCACTTGTGTGGAAAACGAAGGTGAGACCGAAACACGGGGGAAAACGGCCAGGCACGCTGCAGACAGTGCAGGCCAACGTCGCACTGCAAGAGGCATCCTTGCAGTGGCGACAGGAGTGTCCCGAACAATTGCGGTGTGCTCGAGCCCAAGCTTGCAGGTTTTCGGGGATCTGCAAGCTGAGCACAACAGGATTTTCTTCGCAGGTAGAATCAGGTAGAAAAGATTTGGCCCAACCCTGGTGGATCTGCCTGGACATAAATAACCAGAGGCATCAGTGTCGTAAAGCTCATTGACTGGTGCTACTGAGAAACCGTTGCCAAGGAACTTGCAGTAGGACTGTGGTGCGGCGCAGTGCAAGTTGAAGAGCAGCTGGTGGTGGCTGCTCCCCGGAAAACCAATAGTCCAAGAAGCCTCCTTCGGCCTCGCTCCGTGCTGAGGGTTTGTAAGGGTTGGTATTGGCCGGAAAGGATTCAGATGGAGGTTACCCGATCTTCGCGCTTTTCCCATCTGAAGGCAACCAATGGTAATCAGCCTGCTGGACATGGCAGGCCTGCTTTTGTTTACATCCACGTCTCCTGCAAGGGCTGGGGTCTGTCCGTGCACACAGACAAGGCGGAACCTTGCAGATGTTTAGGTCCTCGCGGCACGGCCGCTGGAGGTTGTTTGAAGATGTTGGCTCTCACTATCTGGTGAGTGGTTTGTATGGGCACTTGCTGGGGCAAGGCGGCTCTGGCGTCTGAGGATGGTACATGTGCTGGCTGCTGAGTACGGGCCACCGAAAGAGACCTGTGGTAAGACAAGCGATGAAAGGAGCCGAACTCCTAAACTCTAGGACAGGCTAGCTCACGCGGACGCCACGCAGAGTATGTGTCACTATCTTCAGATGTTGGAGCCAAATTGCCTAGCCTTGTGACGTGAGATGTGGTGTTTGGATTCGGCCTCAAGCACTGGAAGGCCTACAACAACAAATCCGAATGAAAACTGTGGTCCTAAGACACGCGGTGCAGCTGCTTATACGTGGCACCGCGGGGGTCACATAGAGATAGAGGGCTTGCCAGCAAGGGAACTCTGTCTAGAGAGAGCCCTGGCTCAGTGAGGAGCTGAGGGCCTGGCTGCGCAGATGCAGCGGAATGGTTGTTCGGCCTCGCCTCCGCTGAGGGAACAACAGTCAATGCTTCTCTGCAGTGTCGGTCCGGGTTAGTAAGAGCGAGAACGCCGGGACCTCGAGCTGCAGTTTTACCATGAAGCAACCGCGTGAGATGCATTATTGGTCAACTGGTGAGTAAGAGCGAGAAAGCCAGGGTGACGCTACTTTGGGGGAGGCTGCAAGGCACGGTTAGTAAGTGCGAGAAAGCCGGAGCTGCGGACGAACCTGGAGTAGCAGTCTTTCATACCTCACGTGTTTCACTTTGCGGCCTCGCATGCGCTGAGGAAATATGCCTCGAACAGAACATCCAGTGCTGAGTGGGGATTGCCAAACTTACGGAGGCTGATGCCACAACAAGTGCCTCAACAGCAATGCATGCGGAGGGCAAAGTTCGGCCTCGCGAGTGCTGAGGGTTGCAGCTGAGAGAGGGCCTAGCTGAGAACGCAACACCTCAAGCGAGGTAATTTTTAGTTTAGTTTCACCTTGACCAACGGCCCCTTCGGGTGGCTACGCCTCGCAGCGTGCAGACGTAAAATTCACCTGTGGCTCAAGTTTTACTGCTCAAGGCCTTTTGCCTGTGTTGTGGTAGGGAGCTTGCTGTGAACTGAGGCTTTAGTCCTGAACTCTGTGGGGTAACAGGCCTCTCCTCAAATCCCAGGTTAAGCCTCTCGAGCCATAGCATCTGAGCAGCAGAGGGGATTCGGCAAATCCACACACTTGTGGTGAGGCTTGGGACTCCCAGCCTAACCCAGTGAATCGTGGTGTGGTGTTGTTCTTGAGTCAATTGCAGTCATGCCACGCTCTCGAAGTTACACTGTCTGTCAGTTCTGCAATGACTCCTGGATTTACAACCACAAAATCAAGCACCGCCCGTTTTGCAGATGTGGGCAGCCATGGCCCTTGCAGCAAGTGAGCTACAGCCAGGACTCGTCTCCTGGGCAGCCCCAATGGTCCCCCAATCGGACTGTTTTTGCAAAGCCAACCAAGCCTGGGAAAACCCAGCCCCACAAGGGTTTTAAGGGTGCCCAGGTCCTTGGTGAGCATTGGGACTCCTTGCCTGATGCAGTACAGAGTGTGCTCCGAAAGAATGGGTTGGCCCCATCGCAGCCCGCTGAACAAGAAGATCCGCTGATCAAGCTGTTGCAGCAGCACAAGGATGCTTTGCCGGACCAGATCAAGGCAGAGCTTGACAAGAGGGACCCTGAGCCTTTTGAAGTTGCCCTTGCTACCCAAGATGCTTTCAAGACTGCAGTGGGAAAGCTGAGGGAATTGGGCAACAGGAAGCTGCTTTTGCAGCAACGCATTGACAATGCAAAGGCTGCATTCACGGCATTGCTTTCGCAGATGCAAAACTTGCAGGCGGAAATCAAGGAAGCTGAGCAGAAAGTTGAAAAAGTTGGGGGAGACTACCACGAGAAAGTCCTCAAGACCGACGACGAAGCCGATACTATGGATGTGGAAGCTGTGTTGGGTCAGCTTGGTGTCCAGCTGACCCAGGAGCAGCAGGCTACTTGGAAAGCCATTCAAGCCGAGCATGCGTCCAAGCGCCGCAAAGCCGAGGCTATGGAATCTCCGCCAGGCCTTGGGCGAGGAGACATGCTGGGCGCTGGGGTTCCAACCAAGCCGCTGGCCTCCCCAAAAAAGTTTGGCCCCACTGAAAATCCCCTTCAACAGCACGAGAGAAGCCGTTCCCCCAAGGAGAGGGAAGGAAAGGATGGAGAATCTGGAAAGTAGGAAAAGGGCCGAACCGAGGAGGCTGGGATTGCTGCAGGCCCGCCACCTCGATGTTATGGCCATACACCTGCGCAACTTGACTCTCCGACCGCGCCTGGGCTTTTGGGTGGCTCCTTTTCCCTGTGTTCGTTTCTTGCTTCCCAAGCCAACTGGTGCTCAGTTTTGATTTCGCAAGGTCAGCTGCTGCTTGACAAGTGGGTGCTGCAAGTGAGCGAGGATTTGCTTTCCGTTGACTTGAAGTCTTCTCACGATCTTTTAAACTGGTGTGAGGCAGTTTGTACCTTCCTTGCCCAGGACGAGTGTGCATCTGACCTACTTAGGGTCCCTGGTGGCCCTCCTTTTGTAACAGGCCATCTTCGTGATGGTACGATTGGGAGTGCACTCGCTGCCGTTTTCCATGCATTGCCACTTCCGACCTTCACCCCTGAAACACCTATCCTTGAAGAACCGGCTTGGGTGTTACCCGTCCGGACTGCTAAAATGGTCTCCTGCAAGCAGGGCTGTGCCCTTAAAGACCACGGGCCCTATGTTCTTTTCCCAATCCCTGTTTGATGATGGAGATACTGTTGTGTCCTCGCTGGACACTGTGGAGCCTTCGGTCAGGTCGAGATGCCCGAAGACTGGTACCCCGAAATCTCATCCCCGGTTGACCCGTCAGAAGAAAATCAAGGAATGGATTGGTCTCCTTGATATTCTTGAGGCTCAACCAGTGATGGATATGCCGGCTAAGGAGGCTCAACTGCTCCAATGGATTGAGGACTTTGGAGAGCAGTACGATCAAGGGTCTTTGGAGTGCTGGACCTTGAATAGGATATGTCAACTTCTGGAGCGGTCTAAAGATGACACCCTTGGAGTGATCGAGGCGATTGAGGCTGTTCTGGCTGGTTTCCGCAAACAGAATACTGGTCCCAAGTCCCTCCTCATAGGTCACGCCAACATAACTTCGTACCGAAGCGAAGTTCGTACTTGGTTGCTGGACCGTGATGAATCCATCTGGCTTTTGCAAGAAACCCATGTCCCTGAATCAGGTACTAAAGCCCTTGTCAATAAATTCCAATCTGTTGGCAAACAAACATGGGTAGGGCCGGCCGCACTGACCCAGGGAGGTAGCTCGGGAGGACTTCTCACTCTTGCACCCTCGCATCGCAATGCTGCCACGGGCCCGGCCTTTATGTCTGCAGGCAAGGGGTTTGTTTCTGTTTCGATTCGATTTCAGGGCTGGGATCTCTTGTTAGTTAACTTGTATGTCAGGAGTGGGCCCGACTGGTGGACTCAACCCGGAGATCCTTTCTCGTCTGGCGGCGGTCCTTGACCAAACCAGCACCCAGTGGCTGGTTCTTGGTGACTGGAATTGTTCCCCGGCCGAATTGCTCCGCCTAGGGTTTGTTGATAAAGTGAAGGGCCAGGTGGTCGCCCCTGGTGGTCCTACCATTAACACTGGAGGCACCTTGGATTATGCTGTTGCCTCCAAGAGGATGGCCCCAGTGCTCTCCGTCTCGTCCTCTTGGGATGTCCCATTCAAACCGCATTGTGCTGTGACGGTGGAGCTCAGGGTAGGGGTTGCAGATCTGCCTGTTCGTCGCTAAAGGGCTTCCCGCTGGAACCCACTGCCCTCTGCCCGGACGAATTGTCCATGCCGGAAGTCCAACCTGGTGGCTTTTGGGACTGTTCCCGACCGATTGACTATGAATGGGCTTCATTCACTGCTGGGGTGGAAGAACAACTCTTCTCTGTGCAGGCAGGTAGAGGGTGGAAGCTGGCGGTCTCTTTCTCGCCACTCGTGAAAACCACCAGCCCTGAAAAACTCTGGAAAGGGTCGAGCCCGGCCTTTTGGCAATCCTTCCTCACCTGGACCTCTAAAGCCCTGGGCACTAATCCTGACCCTAGAATTATCCCCCTTTTCGTTGAGGCGAAGAATCGCATACCTGAATTCTGGTCTGAAATGGCCTCTTGTACTGCTCAGGCCTTGCAGGACCTCCTAGTTGCTCCTGACTTGCAAAGCCATCACCTTGCACTTGAGATTATCGCACAGCAGGGGCGATCAGCCTTGAAAGAGGCGGTGCGCAAGAGTGATGAAGCATACTCGCAATGGTTGGAAGAAGCTTGCAAAGGGGGTATGCGAGGCTTGTACAAGGCTTTGAAGTCTGAAGACTCCATCCCGGACAGGCCATACAGAAACATACCACTCGAAATTCGCCCGCACATCAGGCGGGCTCACTGGGCTGATGTGTGGCAGCCCATGCCTGGCAATGACGTCAATCCCAATCTTGATTTTGATAGCCTCAGGGATGCTTCTGTAAGCCAAGCCAAAACCCTTCCTCCCATAACAGGTCCAATGGTGGCGAAGGTGATCAAACGAATGCCGACTAAAGCTATTGGTGCAGACGGGTGGAGTGTCCAGATGCTTAAATGTCTTGCCCCCTTGCAGCTTGAAAGATTGGCACAATTCTTTAATACCTGGGAGGGTCAGGGTGCTTTCCCGACCCAGCTCTCGGTTGTTCTGGTTGCACTCATTAACAAGTCTGAGGATGAGGAGCGCCCAATTGGACTGACGCCAGTCCCATACCGACTGTGGGCAAAGATACGTTGGCCTGTCTTTGAGAAATGGCTCCGGGAATATGCTGCCACCCAGGATTGGGACAGGGCAAAGAAGGGCCTTTTCAAGTCTTGATGTTGCGTTGCGCCGCAAGCTGTCGCATGAAATCCTCCACCGGAAAAAGCGACATTCAGTGACAGTGCTTTTAGATTTAAAGGCCTTTTATGAAAATGTCCGACATGATAATTTTGTCAAGCAGGCAATTTCCCTCAAAGTTCCGCCGTTGATCCTGAATGCAGCAATGTCGCTATACTCTGCTCAGCGCTTGATCAGTGCTGAACACTGTGTCTCTGGTCCGATCAAGCCCACCAAGGGCTTAGTTGCGGGCTGCCCATTTGCGCCTGGTCTCAGTAAGATCCCTTTTGACGAGATCCTGCGCCCGGCATGGGTTTCTGGCCTTGCCAAAACCATTGATCTCTACATTCACGATACTAGCTTTGACACTGAGGCTGGTAACCCCCACACAGCAGCGCGCCGGGCGGTGCAATTGTATAAGGCTGTGGTTGGAGGTTTGACAACTGCTGGCCTCCCAGTCAGCCTTGGCAAGACAGCTTTTGTATGCTCGTCTCAAAAAGTTGAAGCTGCCCTTAAAGAGTATCTTCCTGAATCTGATCAAATCAAGAATGCCGCGAAGGACCTGGGGATTGATTGTACGGCTGGGCGCAGAAGGCGCATTCCGTTCCACCGTAAAAGGTTTGGGAAGGGCGTTAAGCGCAAGGCTAGGCTCTCGACCCTGCGTGTGAAATCGATGCCAGCTAGGGTCAGAGCCCTGAGGGCGGGGGTCCAAACTGTGGGCCTTTATGGCCATGAGGCAGTTGGGCTTGCGCCAAAGCGTATGCATTGGTTGCGTGCTTCCTTCGCACATGAGTTGGGGCGAATGTCTTTGGGCTCTGTTGACCTCACCATTGACCATGCTTGCCCTAAGCGGCCGGACCCGGCCTTTACTATAATTTCCCAGCACTTCAAGGCCATTCACAGGCTTCTGGGCTTCATTCCCGATAGCCAAAGGCAGCACTTTGATGATGTCTTGCCGGGTATGTGGCTTGAATACTCACAGGCGGAGTACCCCTGGAAGCGCGCTGCAGGGCCGGTTGGGGCCCTCCTATGTTACCTGCTTGACTTGGGTTGGACCCCGGTCAGTGCGGACACTTGGAAATGCCCTGAACAATCGCACAGCATCACCACCAAAGTAGGCATGCACCACCTCCTTTGCTCCCTATCTAAGGAAACTGATAGGTGGCGGCTCGCACGTATAGCCCAGCACGACATGCTTGAACCTCTGAGTGTGGGAATTGATTGGGTTCCCCTCAGAAAGCTTCGGACTAAGATGCCAGGCCAGGAGAGGTCAGGACTCATGGCTGTTTGGCAAGGAGCGATTCGTGCTGATCCTTGTGCCACTTGCCTGAGGTGCGGCTGTGCTGCTACCATGCAACATGTCTTATGGGAGTGTGACTGGTGGCGAACCAACCTCCCGGAACCGGCTTCCTTTCCTAGATTTCGGCAAGAGTGGCCCATTTCGTCACTGTGGGCCAGAGGCCTTCTGCCGACTTCGCCTTACCCTGATGATGGGGAATGGGTACGAACTACTGGTGCCTGGTGTGATGGCCAGGGCATTTGTGGCGAGGCGATATACTTTGCTACTGATGGCTCCCCGGGGAAATCCAAGGACCCCAGGTTCCATCGGTATACCTGGGCTGCGATTGCCTTTAAGCTTGAAGGGGATGAGCCCGTCACGATCGCGACAGCTGTCGGCTCACTGCAATCTCCGCTATCGGTGTTCCGGGCGGAGGCAGCGGCTGTCAAGTTTGTTGCTGAGCATAGTGAAGGGAACGCAGACCTCACCTTGGATTGCAAGGGCATCCTGCCCAGAGTGAATGGTACACCTTCCATCCAGTCTGCCGATCTCTTCGACCCCATCCGACTGCATGCACAGAGACTCAGCCTTAACTGGGTATCCTCGCATTTAACGGAAGAACAATTCCGAGCAAAGTTTGGTGCTAACCAGCTTTGGAGGCGACGTGCTAACGAAATTGTGGACCAGCTTGTTGGCACGGCTGCCGAAGCTCGTAGGGACCTGAACTTTGAATCCCAAATTAAAAAGCGTGATGCTGTTGCCATTCAGGTTAACTCCTTGTTGGCCAAGAGAGCTGCAGCTCTCTTTTCGTATGACAAGGACCAAGGACCGCTGGTTCAGTGGCCTGACAAAGAGCAACGAAAGCTCCGCCAAAAGCCCAGGGTTAGGGATTCGGCTGTCCGGAAAAATTCTAAGTTGCCCAAAATCAAAGGTCCTAACAAAAGGGAACAGATTGAAGGCCTTCTTGCTGGTACACAGAACTTGGGGCACACCTGGGTTGAGGGTTGTAGGCTCCCTTCCAACCTTTCAGCGAGGTGCTCGAGGTGTGAGCTATACATCCAGCAGACTGAGCCCCTCCCTACCTTTTCCCTTAAGATCAAGCACCCCTGCCTTGGTGTTCAGGCGGACCCTCCTCCTTGGGATCCCCATCCTGATCATGTGTGGGTTAATCTAGGTAAGTCCTGGGTTTGCTCAAAGTGTGACAAGATGGTCAAAGTTGGTGTCCGCAAAATCCCGACCTGGATTGTAGCGCCTTGTAGGCCCAACAAAAGTAAGGTTGCTACTGCTAGCTCCAAAAAAGCAAAGGAGGTGACTGACACTGGGGTTCAAAGTGTTCGGGCCTTTTTTGTGTCGTCCTCCAGTCAGGAACCTTCAGCTAAAATTTCTGTTCCCAAGCCTAAGCCAAAATCCAAAGCGAAGCAGTCTGGGCTCAAGCAAGCTAAGATTGCCTTTTAGCACGCTGCCTGTCCATAAGTTTCCTGCCTCCAAGGCATACTTCAAAGCCCGGCCAGGCAAGCGTGAAAGTGCCTGGCTCAAGCAGTCTGGGCTCAACCAAGCTAAGATTGCCTTCTGAGTATGCCTCCGAAGCATAAATCCCCTGCCTCCAAGGCCTACTCAAAAGCCCGGCCGGGCAAGCGAGAGAGAGCTCGGCTTAGAGGTGCAGCTCCTGAGAGAGCGCCGCCTGCTGGTGTGAACCCCCCGCCTCCCAGGCGGAGAAGGGTGGAACCGCAGGATGAGCAAGCCCCTGAGCCCGGGCCACAACACGTGCAACCCCCTGAGCCCTTGGTGGATAACCAGGCTCAGGGGAGGAGGAATCCTGGAGTCGTGCTTCGGGAAAATCCTCAGCTTGAGCAGCACAATCCTGTGCACCGCCCCCCAGCCGTGGTGGCAAACCAGGCTGAGAGGGATGAAGCTCCTGGAATTGTCCTTCGGGAGAATCCCCATGCACCTGGGGCTGGTCCGGTTTTGGGTGCCCCAGACCAGGACAGCTGCTCTGAAGAAAGCGAGGAGGAGCCAATGGTGCCTGATCCCATTGTGCATCCCGAGCCTCCTCCAGCACCGCCAGCTGCGCCTATGCTGCCTGCCCCGTTGAACTTTGACGATATGGATCAGGAAGCGGGCGCAGCCTTTGCTATTGCTGAGAGAGCTCGCAATACCAAGCCAGGATTGGTGGCTTTCAAATCCGATCTGGGCTATCCTGGTGTCTTCCAGGCCCTCCCCAAGGACCTGATCCATGTGTGGTTCAATGACACGGGGGACAGCACTGCGGCGTATATCCACAATGGAAGAACCAGATTCGGATATGACGCTGGTGGTGGCTACGTCTTGAAGGTTGGGACGAAGCAGGCGTTTGGAGATGAGGTGGCGATTTCGGCCTTGCTTCCTAAGGTGGCAGCCACCATCATTGGGGCTGGATCTACGACACTGCAGGTGCTGCTCTCTGGGCGACCATGGGAGTTCAGGTCCCATTTGGTGGCTTGGTCGATGGTGGAAAAAGTCGAGCTCCTCACGGATTTTGGTTCTCGGAACCAGATCCACCCTCAGTGGTCCTTGTATGCCTTCGCCCTCCTTTTGCAATTGAGCCGTCATTTTGCTCTTCGTGATGTGTCAAAAACCAACCTGGGAATTAAACCAGGACTCAGTGCTGCGACGCCCATGTTGTGTTTTTTCGATCTCGCGGATTGGCACTTCGAAGGGCTTAATGCTGGAAGTTGGATTCCCAAGTATAGCTTGCGCAGCTTCATCGAGACCCTTCGATGTGTCTGTGACGTCACGCCGTTGGAGCCGTATCTCCGCAGGCAGGCGGTGGTCCCTTGCCTCAACGATATCATTGCAGTTCTCCCCGCTGCGCTCAAGGCAAACTTGGAAATCCAAATGGTCCTCATGGACGGCCGACTCTCTGATTGGGCTCACCTTGCTGCATTGGCTAACCAATAAGCTTGGGTCTTCCAAGCCTGTGGTGTTGTCAGTCAGGTCTTGGGGTCTCCAGACCATTCAAGGCGTGGGCCCAGCCTTGTTTGCTGTGTGGGAGTTGCAGGTGCTCGGGTCGTGGAACCCCGACTGCCACAGCCTGCTACCGTGCGTCTGCATGCTTGGGTCTTCCAAGTGCAGTACCAGGCCTTGGTGTAACCAGGCCTCAGGCCTGAAGCGAGTGGCGCAACTTGTAGCTGTAGGGTAGGTGTACCCCCGACTGTCTCACTTCCGAGCCTGGACTCAAGGCCTGCTCCTTGCAGCTACTGCGAGAGTGGCTTGTAACTTGCATGTAGGGTAGGTGTTCCCCCGACTGTTTCACACTGAGCCAATGGACTCAAGGCCTCCGGCCGCTTCGTGCTTGCGTGGTAAAATTCACCTGTAGTGTTTGCCCAGTTGGTGCCATGTGGTGTTTGACCATACAGAGAGAAGCATGAGAGTTTTTCTGCTGCATGACTTGGCATGAGCATGTTTGGTTTTGCCCAAAGTCCCTAAAGCATGTTTGGGTTGACTGCGACGCATGTCTTGTCTTGTTGGCATGGCCTAGGATGAGTTTTGAAGCACTTGGAATTGCTTGAGAGCAGTAGTGAAGAAGTGCGTGTCAGAACTCTGAGGTTCTGTCTTGCTGCAACTCACTCCGTGTCCCCGCCACTTCGTTCGTTGCCGTTGGACGTGTAGGATGGGAGTAGGAGTGCAGAGTGGACTCTGAAGCTTCGCTGTTTTGCTGTTCAGAAGTGACCTGAAGTCCCCGAGGTGTAGACCAAAGCAGTTGCATTGTTCTTTTGCTTTACCTCCTTTGTAGAACAAAGTTGAGATGGAATTCGAGCCCTTAGCTCTTGGAGAGAGCTTGCTGCAAGAACTGAAGCTTGCTGAACACTTTGGTGTTTGGCTCAAGTGCAAAGTGAAAAAGAGACTGCTGCGCGAGCTCTGCTTTTCACACAGACAGCGACTCCATTCGTATTTTCAATGCGTCGGTCTTTGTGCCTGTGATTTTCGGGCGACTAAAGCCGCTCGATTCTCGCCTACCCAGTGGGTCTGTGAAAAATTCACCTGTAGTGTTTGCCCAGTTGGTGCCATGTGGTGTGTTGACTGTACAGAGAGAAGCATGTAAGTTTTTCTGCAGCATAAGCATGTTTGGTTTGTCCCAAAGCCCTTAAGCATGTGTGGCATGTCTTGCTTGGCTTTGGCATGTCCTTGTCTTGTTGGCATGCCTAGGATGAGTTTTGAGGCACTTGGAACTGCTTGAGAGCAGTAGTGAAGAAGTGCGTGTTAGAACTCTTAGGTTCTGTTGCTGCAACTTACTCCGTGTGCCCGCCTGCCGTTGGACGTGTAGAATGGGATTAGAAGTGTGGACTCTGAAGCTTCGCTGTTTTGCTGTTTGGAAGTGACCTAAAGTTTCCAAGGTGTAGAACAAAGCAGTTGCATTGTTCTTTTGCTTTACCTTCTTTGTAGAACAAAGTTGAGATGGAATTCGTAGCTTTTGGAGCCCTTAGCTCTTAGAGAGAGCTTGCTGCAAGAACTGAAGCTTGTTGAACACTTTGGTGTTTGGCTAAAGTGCAAAGTGAAAAAAGAGACTGCTGCGCGAGCTCTGCTTTTCACATGGTAGCGGAGCCTTGAGAGCAACTCCAGCGCCTGTGTTAAGTACCTCCACGCTATGGCAACTCCAGAGCAAGGCGGAAGTTTGCATGGAAGCCCGCAGGGTTCTCCAGTGCACGGGGCGTTACCTTCTGAGCAAGTCCCAGTCCCTGACAACACACCCGAGAAGGAGGCTTTGCTGTTTGGAACCCAAGGAGTTCCGTCCGCAACACCAGCTGCAAGTTCTCAGCCTGCTGGTGCATAAAGAAGCTTTTGATGGAGCAGTACCGTCGACAGTTAGAACAGAACCAGCAGCTTGTAGCGACCATGCTTCGTCACATGGACAGTGAGGAGAAGAGAAAAGATGAGGCAGAAGCTGCGGCTGCCGAAGCCAAAGCAAAGGCCGAGAAGAAATCGGCATCTGCCCCTCTTGACCCGTTTGTGGCAGCAACGTCTGCTGCAGGAACTGGCGTCCCGAGCTCTACTCCACCTTCGGTGCCCAAGGAAGCTGGGAGTTCAACTGGAGGGTACGTTTCCAACCGTGCCGACAAGTATCTTCCACAGTTGCCGGTTATAGCCCACCAAGAGATGGGTAGAGACCGCATGCGGGAGATTGAAGCTTGGCACAGCTTCCTGGAGACGCTGAGTTCTTGGCTGGCCCTGCAGGACGAAGCCTACGTGAACGAGATTCGTCTCTGCGTCGGCGTCAAGGACGAGATCCGACAGGACCTTTTGCCTCCTGACACTGCAGCTCGGTCGGCGAAGTTGTTTTACCTGCTGTCGCAGAGTTTGGCGAAGTGGGAGCGTGGTTTGGAGTTGCTTCGAAGCTGTAGCAAAAGGCAGAGCATGTCTGCTACCGGCTACGAGGCAGTTCGCACCCTGCACCTCAACTACTCCATTGTGTCTCGAATGGAGGCCGTCCACGTGAGAGACGGTTGCATGAAGCTGCATGCCCAGTGTTCGGGGCTCAAAAAGCCCATGGACATCATCAGACACTTGGAGGACGAAATCGCCAAGGCGGAGATCAAGTTGAGCAACTTCCCCGAGTTGAAGCTCTCCGAAGCCGATCGCTGTTCCATCCTGCTACAGGCCGTTTCGCATCCTGCGAGACAGTACGTGGCGCTGCACGGCAACGCCAACAGCTGGAGTGAGCTCACAAAGAGCCTCAAGTATTTCGAAGAACAGCTGAGGATGTGCGACGTGCCGACTGCAGCAAACCGTGGAATGGACGGCAAGCTTTGCGACCATTGCGGCAAGCATGGTCATGTGGCAAAGGATTGCTGGTCACGACAGCGTGAGGCTGGTGAGAAAGGCGGCAAGGGCGGCAAGGGAGAGTCGAAGAGTGGAAAGGGCACTGGAGGCCCCAAAGGACAGAGGTCCCCCACTCCGAAGGGAGCTCCTCGCTCTCCAACGCCGAAAGGAAAGCCCACCTCCAAGGGAGACAAGGGTGCCAAAGGAAAGAAGGGCGAAGGAAAGGGCAAAGGAAAGAAGCAGAAGAAGAAGAACCGCGCCCGGGCTATGGGAGAACCAGAGTCCGAGGCGGAAGCAGAGCCAACACAGAGTGTGATGGCGATGCGCTTTGCCCAACGAAGTCCTGAACTGAGCCGTATCATGTACTTGTTCATGTATGTTTTATAAACTATGTTCGTGCGTCATTTTGGCTCTAGAGTGGTGCTTGCTAGCGAGAAAGTCAAGTTTTTTCCATGGCATGCTTTCTGTACGGGAAGTCTTCTTTTCCATGTTTTTCCCAAAGTGCTTGGTTCGTGTTTTGGCAACCTTTGCATTCAGCCTAGTTTTCATTTTGAACGATGCTCCAGGGGTGAGCGGGCTCACTCCAAAGTGAGTGCATGGAAGCATCGTGTGCTGGGCTTGACGCCTCTTCATATCAGCTGCAGCTTCGAGTTCACGAGTTGCAGAGCCAGTTGGAAGCCCTTCATACACACATTGCAGTCTTAGAAGAGCGTTTGCATCGTATCGAGCAGGAAGATCAGAGGGTCCGTCGGGATCTGCGCGGCCATACTGGCACCACTAGCATCGGCTGCCTTTCGGTTCGGCTCTTGCACCTTGAGAGTTGCTTCAGCTTTCTTGTGCGTGCAGTTCAGACCAGCTTCCCAAGGCCTCCAGGTTTTTGGCAAAGCTTGATTGAAGACTAGAGGGTTGCAGGATGAAACGCCCGACGGATCCTGATGATAAGCACTTCAGTAAAGCAAAGAGCAAGTGTGCACCACCGCCCCTGGGGGGGCTTGCGCTACCAGTTGACAAACCTAAAGGAACCGCTCCCCCTCTGCCGGCGGCAGGTCTTGCCCAACCTTTGTACTCCCAGGGACGACGCATTGAGCCAGTTCCACGTGCCGGGCAACCTCTGCCCGTTCCTGTTGCGGCATCCAGCAGGAGCAATTGTGATTCCGATGCTGAAGAAGAATCAGCCAGACACTTTGCCAGGTTTCGGCAGTCCTTCACAGAATCCAACCAACAGCAGCAAAGTACTTCATCGTTTCTCTTGAAAGCTGCCCCGAAGCGAAAGCCAGCAAAGGCGGCCGATCCCCACCATCCCAAGTTCCAGCAGATTGCAGGTTTCTCCCAGATGGCCTTGTCACTGTTTTGGGGTGTGCTTGTTTTTATGGGTGATTGTAGTGGATTGTTCAAGCAGATTCAGTGCTCCGAATTTGCCAGTCATCACACCTCGCGAATTCTTTCCGGGTATGCCACGAACACGGTGCTCCGTTACCTGGCAGCTTGGTCACACTTTGTGGCGAATCTTGAAGGGCTAGGCCTCTGTTTTGGCAATCTTGATAGTGTTATGATGGCAGACATACTAGTCACCATGTCCCTTGAGAAGCATGGAGACCCTACTCTGGGTTCAAGCTGTTGCATGACAATCAAAGCACTTCGTTGGCTATGCAAAGTCGCAGAATGTACAATCTTATCGTGCGCGTATGAAAAAGTGATTGATTCTTTTCTGAAGTCAAAAATTCCTCGTGAACGCCGTGAGAGTTTCCCACTACCCACTTGGGTGCTCCAGCTGTGGGAAAGGCGCATCTTGATGAAGCAGGCATCATTCCTTGAAGTGGTTGCGCTTGGTGGTTTTTTAGTTGCTGCCTGGGGTTCATTGCGATTTGCAGATCTTCAACGTGTGGAGTGGAGTTCATTATCTTTTGACTTACATGTCCTTCGTGGTACGTGTTATGCGACCAAAACATGTCACACCGGGCAGCCCTGGGGCATCCTTGCGTCAGGTATTCTGTCTCGCGGGACGCATTCTTGGGTTAGCAAATACCTGCATGCCCTTGACAGGTTGGCTACAATGCATGTTCGAAACCACCCAGATTCGTGGCTTCCATCGTTCTTGCTTCCAGCAGTGCAAGGCGACAGCTTCATGTTGCCCCTGCAAG